CTTTTTTTTTCTTTCTTTTTCTTTTCTTTCTTTTCTTTTTTTCTTTCTTGATTTTCTTGATCTCTTTTTTTTATCTTTCTTTTTTCTTTCTTTTTTTTTTCTTGATCTCTTTTTTTTATCTTTTTTTTTTTTTCTTTTTTCTTTTTGATCTTTTCTTGATCTCTTTTCTTATTTTTTCTTTCTTTTTTCTTTCTTTTTGATCTTTTTCTTGATCTCTTTCTTATTTTATCTCTTTCTTTCTTTTTTCTTTTTTCTTGATCTTTTTCTTGATCTCTTTCTTATTTTATCTCTTTCTTTCTTTCTTTCTTGATCTTTTTCTTGATCTCTTTCTTATTTTATCTCTTTCTTTCTTTTTTTTTTTTTGATCTTTTTCTTGATCTCTTTCTTATTTTATCTCTTTCTTTCTTTCTTTTTTTTTCTTTTTTCTTGATCTCTTTCTTTTTTTTTATCTCTTTCTTTCTTTCTTTCTTTTTGATTTTTTTTTCTTGATCTTTTTTTTTTTCTCTTTCTTTCTTGATCTTTTTTCTTTTCTTTCTCTTTTTTCTTGATTTTTTTCTTTTTTCTTATTTTATCTCTTCTTTTCTTTTTTTTTCTTTTCTTCTTTTTTTTTTCTTTCTTTTATCTTTTCTTGATCTTTCTTTTATTTCTCTTTTATTTCTTTCTTTTTTTTTCTTTCTTGATCTTTTTCTTGATCTTTTCTTTTTATCTCTTTCTTTTTTTCTTTCTTGATTTTTTCTTGATTTTTTTATTTTTTTTTTCTTTCTTTCTTTCTTTCTTGATCTTTTTCTTGATCTCTTTCTTTATCTCTTTCTTTCTTTCTTTCTTTCTTGATCTTTTTCTTGATCTCTTTCTTATTTTATCTCTTTCTTTCTTCTTTCTTTCTTGATCTTTTTCTTGATCTCTTTCTTATTTTATCTCTTTCTTTCTTTCTTTCTTTCTTGATCTTTTTCTTGATCTCTTTCTTATTTTATCTCTTTCTTTCTTTCTTTCTTGATCTTTTATTTCTTGATCTTTTTCTTGATGTCTTTCTTATTTTATTTTTTTTCTTTCTTTTTTTCTTTCTTTTTCTTTTTTTTCTCTTTTTTTGATCTTTTTCTTTTCTTTTCTTTTTTTTTGATCTTTTTTTTTTTGATCTTTTTCTTTTCTCTTTTTGTTCTCTTTCTTTCTTTTTTTTCTTTTTTTTCTTTTTCTTGATCTCTTTCTTATTTTCTTTCTTTTTTCTTTTTTCTTGATCTTTTTTCTTTTTTTTTGATTCTTTCTTTTTTTTCTTTCTTTCTTTCTTTTTTTTTTCTTCTTTTCTTGATCTCTTTCTTATTTTATCTCTTTTTTCTTTCTTTTTTTTTTTTTTTTGATCTCTTTTTTTTTGATCTCTTTTCTTTCTTTCTTTCTTCTTTTCTTGATCTTTTCTTTCTTTTTTATTTGATCTTTCTTTCTTTCTTTCTTTTTTGATCTTTTTCTTTCTTTTTTTCTTTTTGATCTCTTTTCTTGATCTTTTTTTTCTTTTTATTCTTCTTTATCTCTTTTCTTTTTTCTTTTTTTGATCTTTTTTCTTGATCTCGTTCTTATTTTATCTCTTTCTTTCTTTATTTCTTTGTTTTTGATCTTTTTCTTGATCTCGTTCTTATTTTATCTCTTTCTTTCTTTTTTTTTTTTTTTCTTTTTTCTTGATCTCTTTTCTTATTTTATCTCTTTCTTTTCTTTCTTTTCTTTCTTTTTCTTGATCTTTTCTTCTTTTTTCTTTCTTCTTTCTTTTTTTATCTTTTTTTTTTCTTTCTTTCTTTCTTTTTTCTTGATCTTTTTCTCTTTTCTTTGATCTCTTTCTTTCTTTTCTTGATCTTTTTTCTTGATCTCTTTTCTTTTGTTTCTTTCTTTCTTTCTTTCTTTTTTGATCTTTTTTTCTTGATCTCTTTCTTATTTTCTCTTTCTTTCTTTCTTTCTTTCTTTCTTTTCTTGATCTTTTCTTTATTTTTTTTCTTTCTTTCTTTTTTATCTCTTTCTTTTTTTTCTTTCTTTCTTTTTTCTTTTTCTTGATCTCTTTCTTATTTTCTTTCTTTCTTTCTTTTTTGATCTTTTTTTGATCTTTTTTATTTTATCTCTTTCTTTTTTTCTTTCTTGATCTTTTTTCTTTCTTTTTGTCTTCTTGATCTTTCTTTCTTTTTTGTCTTCTTGATCTTTCTTTCTTGTTGTCTTCTTGATCTTTCTTTTCTTTGTCTTTTTTATCTTTCTTTCTTGTTGTCTTCTTGATCTTTTTTCTTTCTGTTTGTCTTCTTGATCTTTCTTTCTTGTTGTGTTCTTGATCTTGTTGTCTTCTTGATATGTTTAATATGCCAGCCTTTGCTGGCATATTAAACATAATTCATTCCATAGGAGGTGAATTTAATGTCAAGACAATAAGAAACACTACCTGCCAAAAAAAAGTGAAGTTTTGTTGAAATCAGCTGAAAAATGTAGGAAATCCGATCCCATATATAAACAAACACACACACAAACACAAACAACCAACCTGTGTTTTATAATAAGTATAATTCGAAGTGAGTTTTCCCCCTTTCATTAATGCCTTTTAATCGTGTTTTCAAATTGATTTTGTGCAAAAACAATTGTTTTTTTCTAAATTTTGGCGCTGTTAGAACCACCGCAAGGTAATTTTACGTAGTCCTGTGAAGTTTTGCTGAAATTGGTTGAAAAGTGTAGGATATCCTATCCAATATATAAACGTAACAGATACACAAACACACAATCTGCGTTTTATAATAAGTAAGATGATCTAACAAATCTTATTCATTCACTAGCCTTTCTGTAATCTTTTACAATTTATGATTTTTACTTATTGAATACAGTAAAAAATATTGCATATTTTGCTTGTGTTGTTTCATAATTAGAATTCTGATTTGAATATATTTTCCACTCGTTGTTTCTAATACAAAAAATATTAACTTTATTTGGGTTTGGTAAGGGGAGGAGGGGTATGACCTTGGCGCCCTAAAACGCAGCCACGTGTGGACAATTATTGAAGTTTAAAAAGTCAATTATGAGTCGAGGTCCACTGAGGAAACGACGAAAATTCTCGTAAACCCCTAAGCAAGACACATAGACCCGACCCTCGTATAAGACTCACCTGCATGAACAAAAAAAAGAAAGAAAAAGGAATCTAGCAGAAAAGTCGGGTACAAGGTAAGTATTGTGTTCTTTCCTTAATAATTATCATGTTCGAAATATTTTTGTTTTTTCTCTATAAGATTTCTTACGTCGGCTTTTTTAAATTATTTCTTAATACTTTCTTTTAAATATTGAATTAATTTCAAATAGAACCAATGCCTTTATAGATGCCTTGTACCAAAATTGCCTGGGGAATTATAAGAAAAGGCCTTAAAAGTACGTGGAATTATCTTTCCTAAAAGATAAAGAATTATCGATGTTTGGATTCGTACAATCAGTAAAGATCGTTAGATTATTGTTTAAGGTTGATGGACACGCATGTCTTATTAGTTTTTTTTGTTTTGTTTTGTTTTTTGTTTTTTTTACGAATTGGTCAAACCCAAACTCAAACAAAAACATTATTTTTACTACCGATTGAATAGAATTTTATTATAAGCAATTGTCTTGTAAATGGAATTTTTAAAGCATTCTGAATGTAAAAATATAGAAAAAAGTGTGTAAGACAATAAGAAACACTACCTGCCAAAAGAAAGTGAAGTTTTGTTGAAATCGTCTGAAAAATGTAGGAAATCCGATCCCATATATAAACGAACACACACACACACACAAACAACCTGGGTTTTAACCCGAAGTGAGTTGCCTCCCTTTCAGTAATGCCTCTTAATCGTGTTTTTTCAATTGATTTTCATAAAAAACAATTGTGTTTTTTCAATTTTGGCGCTGTTAGAACCATCGCAACGTAATTTTATGTAGTCCTGTGAAGTTTTTGTTGAAATCGGTTGAAAAATGTATCGAATCCGATCCAATATATAAACGTTACAGACACACGCACACACACACAAACACACACACACACAAACACACACACACAATCTGCGTTTTATAATAAGTAAGATTGAAGAAAACATGAGATTAATTTGTTAGCTAATATAAGTGAAGAGAGACTTAAATGTGAGACTTATTTGTCAAGTAATATGAGAGAAGTTAGAAGTAAATATGAGATTAATTATTTAGCTATTGTTATCAGCTATTTGCTATTAGCTAGAAGTAAATATGAGGCTATTTGTTAGCTATATGAGTGAAGATACAAGTCAATATGAAATAAATTTGTTAGCTGCTATGGGTGAATATAGTCATAAATATGAGACTATTTTTAGCTATTATGATTGAAGGTAGAAGTAAATGTTAGACTAGTTTGTTAGCTATTATGTGTGAAGTTTGAATTAAATGTGATTAATTTTTTAGCTAATATGCGAGAAGATAGAATTAAATATGAGACAAATTTGTTAGCTAATATGAAGTGAAGATAGAAGTAAATATGAGTGTAATTTTTTAGCTATTGCTGCATCAAGATCGCTTATGAAGGAGAAACGGCACACGGGTTTGTCAGGGAAATTATTGACCGCTTACTAAAGAGTTACTGAGTAAACGTAAATGAAACTCTCAGTATTCCAATATGAAAAGAAAAAAAATGGATGCATGAAAATCTTATGAAACAACAAAGATAGAACGGACGAAATACCACGGAAAATAAAAAGAAACGTGAAATGTAGAAAAAGATTAAAAGTGAAAAAAGCGAAAAGAAAGTAAGAAAAAATGAATGAATGACGAAGAGAAGAAAGAAAGAAAGAAAGAGTAAAAAGAAAGAATGAAAGTTCATTGGGATGAAAAAAGAAAGAGAGAAACAAAGGTTAAAAAAAAACATGAAGAAACTCGAAAGAAAGAGTCGCAGAAATTAAAATGAAATACAAAGAAAGCGCAAAGTTAAAAGAACTAAAGAAAATGAGAAAAGAAGAAAGAAATAAAAAGAGAAAGAAAGCTCAAGAAAAGAAAGAAGTAAAAGTTCAAGAAAAGAAAGAAAGAAAAAAAAATAAATAAATAAAAAGAAAGAATAAAAGTCCGAGATGAGAAAGAATGAAAGAACAAAGGAGAAAAAGAAAGAAAGAAAATGAGAAAGAAAGAAAGCTCGAGAAGAGAAAGAATGAAAGGACTAAAGAGAAAAAGATAAAAGATGAATGGAAGCTCAGAAAACAAAGAAAGAAAGAAAGAAAGAAAGAAAGAAAGAAAGAAAGAAAGAAAGAAAGAAAGAAAAAATTCGCGAGAAGAGAAAGAATGAAAGGACTAAAGAGAAAAAGATAAAAGATGAATGGAAGCTCAGAAAAGAAAGAAAGAAAGAAAGAAAGAAAGAAAGAAAGAAAGCGCAGGAAGAGAAAAACTAAAGAAAATGAGAAAAAAAAGAAAGAAAGAAAGAATATAATAACTGAAGAAAGAAAGAAAGAAAGAAAGAAAGAAAGAAAGAAAGAAAGAAAGAAAGAAAGCTTGAGAAGTGATAGAATGGAAGAACTAAATAGAAAAAGAAAGAAAGAAAGAAAGAATGAAATCTCAGGAAAAAAAGCTAAAGAAAATATGAAAGAAAGAAAGATAAAAGAAAGAAGAAAGTTCAAGAAGAGAAAGAACGAAAGAACTAAAGAAAACGTTAAAGAAACAAACAAATAAATATCAAAGGAAGGAAAAGGAAAGATCTAGAGGAAAAAATAAAAAGAAAGATCAAGTAAGAAAAAAAGAAAGATCCCAAGACGGAATAAAAACGAAAGAAAGTATAAAAGACGAAATATCGAGTGAAGAAAGAACTGAGAAACTGTGACACCTGTGAGGATCAAACTTGAACCACAAATGAATTTGTCGACAAGAGGCACCATCGAACCACAATGACTAACTTTGAGCGGAAGTACATTCCTGTCTTACAGAAGGCCTTTCGTTATATATTAATTTAAAAAATTCCGTTCGTTTAACTTATTTTGGCATAAGGTCCCAATAGAGTTGCGCTTAGGGAAATTGAAATTCCCTCCCCTAGATAATGTTCAAAGAATCGTTTGTTATTAACAATAAAAAAAAGAGTCGTTTGGGATTATTAAAAACCAAATAAATAAATTGCAGGCTTCGAGATAAGTTCTACCGATAAATCCGTGGCATGGAGATAAAGACTATGCCTGTTACACAGATACTCAGTGAGCATGGAACTCATTGACAATGGCCTGCGGGACTGACCTTGTAGTCAATGATTTATGGTAAACATCTCAGAATAATCTGAAATTAGATATTGATTTCGCATATCATAGGCCGTCCTTAGGCGACATTAGTAAAAACTAACAATCATCTGTGAGACAAGTTTGTAAACCTTCGACAATTTTCGATATTTTCTAATCTAACCTCCTGCAGTGATTCCGACTGACGTTCCATCCCGAACTTACAAGTGATATCTTACTTCACCAACCTGTTAACTAGAAATGAATGAAAATGTGTGGACAGCAGGGAAAGCAGACGTTTTTTGTAAAAAAAAAAAATATATATTACGTCGTGTCATAAATCATTTCTGTTTTTTTAACGACTTTATTCTTTAAAAAAAAAGTACAATTGTATTTTATTCAAATATACACCCTTGTGCAAATTAATTGAAACAAAACGAATAATTCCGTTATTATTTACTTTTTTTTCATATTTTTCCAATGAAACATGCCCAAGTGAACATGTTAGTACTTTGCATGAACAATCCACGAAATCGTTCCTTGCAGATTACACTCTATAACTTCAGTGGGTCTAAAACTGACCGTATTGTGAAAGAAAGGAAACTAAAGCGGTTGTTTCAATTACTTTGCACTAGGTTGTGTATGCAATATTATTCCAAATGACTTGTTTCTATTTATCAGGCAGCTGTTCGATATATTTTGAGTAAAATTCGGTAGATGTTTGGGTGTGAAAAACTTTTAGAAGAACCATTTAATATGCTTCTCATTACGGAAATTGTTATTCGGACTCATTTCAACCTATCACCTTATCTGTGAGACTAACTTGTTAACCCATAATCCAGAAAGAGGCAACTTCTTGGAGGAAGGTATTTTTTTCACTGAGATTATCTCAGTAATGGCCGGTTTCTCGTTACCATGCACACCTGGCTTCTACTGTGGTTAGACAATCCTTATTGCAGACACCTGTTTGTACAACACCAAAAAAAAAATCACTTTTGGTTTGTACTGCAAATAGCCTGAGCGGAAATCTACAGTTTCTGGGAGAGAGCTTAAAATCTGGCGTTATCAACAGTTTGAACGAGTATAGTTTGCACATTTTTTTTTAAGCATTACGCCCCGAGCAAGGCGTGAAGCCACTAGGATGCAAGGGGCTGCAGAAGATTTGAAGCAAGAGCAGATAGGAGTGATAGAAGAAAGGATGAGGAGAGGGATAGTGGATAGATCAAGGTAACTGGAGGTGTCGATTGACATTACATTTGAATAGTTGGAGATTATAGCTCTCAGGGAAACAGTAATTAGGAAGGGTGTTCCACAGGCGAGAGGTGCGAGGTATGAAGCTATTGAAAGTAGAAGAGACGGCTACATTTAAAAGTTTCTATAGTGTAAGGGTGGGAGCGGTATGCCTGTCTCGTAGGCGCTTGAATTCATGGAGTCTGGGAACCAGTGAAAGCAGCTCATCGGAGCAATTACCATGAAAGCATTTGTAGAAAAGACAGAGAGAGGCGCTTATCCACAATGTTTGGGTCTACCTGTTGTATGCGCTTACCAATGGTGTCATACGCTGAGATCGCCTCACGAGGCTGATAACAGCAAAAAGTCAACTCCCTGAAAAAGCGAACCGGAAACCAAATCGTCGCTGATAAATCGAACCCGGGTCTTATGATCGGAAAGCGAATGCCATAAGCACGCGGCAATAGCTCAGTGGCCGCACAAAACCAATGCTTTCTGCCTCATTGAGGATAGAACTCGCCAGTAGTAATCGTCAGCAAGAGTGAATTGCTAAACATTACTCTAGGGCGTGGGCACACCTTTACATCTTTCGTTCATCTGGAATACGTACCGAATATATATATATATATATATATATATATATATATATATATATATATATATATATATATATATATATGCAAACAAGTTCCTGAAATAATTACTAATTAATGTACATGCAAAATAACTGATTAAATTTAGTTTTTATTGAGAAATAAGCTGACAAAATTTAAAACATATGCCAAGTCGTACACACGCACTCATGCGCAAAAATGCACACATATAGACGCACAAACACACACATACGTACGCTTAAACACACACACATAGTTACCTATATATATATATATATATATATATATATATATATATATATATATATATATATAGAGAGAGAGAGAGAGAGAGAGAGAGAGATAGATAGAAAACACAGTTATCTGAAGATATGCAATAAAATTTATGTTTGTGTCTTATGTGTTTGTGACCCATTTTCGTATATACGAAGTAGTCTTTCTTTGTAGTTACTACATATACTTTTTTTTCAGATTATATTGTGTTACTTTTGGTCATTATTACAAAATGTCAGGGAAAGTTAAGAATTTTACCATTAGTACCAAAATCCAATTGCCTCTATACGACTAGCAAGGCCACCGGGCGTTTCCAGGGTTAAAAATTCTTTTGAAATAGTTGCTGTTTCTACTTGTGAGTCTGATGGAGGGGCAGGAGCTATGCTGTATATACAAGAGAGAAACCAGTGGCACACAAAGAAACAAAAACTTGCAACGAGGAAAAAAAAAAAAAAAAAGACTGGCAAAAAAAAAAAAGAAAATAATTTCGCTGACATTTGTTTCCTGCTAGTTTTACTTTTGTTACGAAGAATGCATTATTAAATTCAAGTGGAATGAAACCAGTAATAAAATAACAATAGCAAAAATTCTTAATATAAAGAGCTTCGGAATATCAGGTGCTGTAAGCTTGAGAATGAGGGGGTGTTATAGTTAATGGCCTTGAATTGTTAATCGGAGAGCCCGAGTTCGAATTCCAGAGGCGTTCGTTATAGTCACTTGCCCGCAAATGCCCTTGGGAAATATATAATTTCACCTCTTCTTCTTTCCCACTCCCCCAGCTATGGATTATTTATTAAGACTTATATGATTAAAACTGTTATTATTTCCCTCAAAAATATTTAAATTTAGGCAATAAATAACCCATAGAGGTTGACATAACCCTAAATAGTAAAAACTATTAATAAAAAAGAGTAGTAATCTGATAAAGTAAAACTATTAATATTATATTGCTCTTTTTTATATGATATGAAGAAGCAAAGCAGTTACTCGGGGAGGCACGTTGGAGTAATGGATAGCGGCTCGGTGTGAGGAATCGGAGAGCCGAGTTCGAATTCCAGTCGAATCCATTGCATTCACTTTCGTACTAATAACCTTGGGAAAGGTATGAATCCTCTTCTTCTTAAAAGCTACGGGGGAAAATAGCAGGACAGACCGGGTCGGATGGCAACTGGTCTACCAAAGAAAGAAATAATAACTTACTACCTCCCCTAAGCGTGTATCACGCATGGCACATAACTGACTGAAAACTAATAAGTTTCACGTGTTCTTTTTCAATAATAATTGAAACCTTCGAATTAATAACTTAAGTGTTTTTTTTTTGTTTTTTTGTTTTTTGTCGGGGAGAATTATTTCACCACAAGTAAGGCGATAATGTCGCTAGGACACAAGGGAGTGCTTGGAATGGAATAGAATGAGAAAAGACAATGGAAAAACATAATTCAGGAAGATAGAATATGGTGACGTTCCAGTTAAATTTTTGAAGATTGTAATTAGAATAAAACATGCAGTTGCATCTAACTAGCTCAGCAGTAAAACGGTGAGACCTAATAGCCAATCTAGTAGCACGCTCAAATTTCATGCAGCCGAGGCATGAAGGTGCCAGATCAGGATCGATTACAAACACTTCTTTTAATTTTGCCAAGAATCTAGATAGGGTTCGGACCAATAGTAGATTAATAAATTTGCAAGATGGATTCTGAGGAGAAAAAACTGACCGACACGATATAGCGAATGAACTTTCCTAGCTGTTACTCTATTTTAATGTCTTACCCCTTCAAGACGTAAGTAACCACGGCTCTCCACAAATTCATTGTTATCTCAAAATTGTCTTAAATTTTGTGGGGAAGATAGTGCAATGGCTTGGAATTCCGAACGTTTGATAAAGTATGTCATAAAGAACTAGTTGAACTGATAGGTAAGCTTCATTAAATTAAGAAAATTGTTAGAAAAATCTATAACATATACTAGAAACAAACCACCTGCACACGGAAAAAAATGAATCTACTAAATACACAAAAATAGAAAGGAGCATAAAACAAGAATATGTTTTCTCTCCGGAGTTATTCAACTTGGACAGTGAGACGATCCCGAAAAAATTAGAAGTCCTACTAGAATTTATTACTGCCAGCTAAAATAAGCTAACATACGATATACAGATCATACATTGTTAATAGCAGACACAGAAAGGAAACTATAGGAACTCCTACAGAAAATAATCAAAGTGTTGTAACCTTGGGAAGGTTACTGAATAGAATAATCAAACGAATGATGGTAATGAACGATAATACTTAGGACAAGAACAACTCATATAAGATTCGCCAGCGGCGATTAGAAGTAGTCAACTGCTAGAAGTTAGTCAAGTGAATTCCACAATGAATCTCCAACTGCAGGATATCTACCAACCGTCCCACACGGTCAGATGTGCCATAAGGCCAGATTTAATGTGGGGTATCTGAGCCCGTAGGATCGGCCAAAAATACCCAGTATACCCTGTATAAAACAGGTTCGGGTAGCTGTCTCCCGAGACGAGAGTCTGCCCTTCGTAGCCACATCTGGGGATCCTCTCTGCCTGGAGACAGAGAGTTTGACCAGCGTAGCTGGAGACGAATCTCCAACTGCGGACCAACATACAGTATTTACTACTCTATCTATGTGAATGGGGGCATACCCATTATCGTCCGTAGGTATACTACAACAAAAGGAAAGCGAGAAGGAAATACTAAATATCAACTGTAAAAAAAAAAAAACAACAGAAAATGCGGCTGTCCGCAAAAGGAAGAGTCCAAGATGCTTACCTAGAATTGAAGACACCGAAACCAAGCAAGTACAAAGAATTAAATATCTAGGAGGTGTTTTGACAGAGGGTAGAAAGTAAGACACCGAAATCTGAAGCTTCATTGGAATAGATGCCTTACAAAACTAAGCAAAGTATTAAGAAACAGGAAAACTTCGTTATAAACAAAGAATAGTGTTCTGAACAATTATGTAATGTCGGTCCTACTAAATGACTACGAATTCTCCTCATAGATGAAGAAGAGGCTTCAAGCAACAGAAATGTACTCTACAGAAAGAGACAGGAAATACGATGAACTGAACATGCGAGTAACAGGAGAATATAAACAAAAAGAACATTTATACTTTCAATCAGATACAGAGAATTGAAATTTCTATGGCACATAACGAGGAAACAGGGCTTGGAAAATTTGACACTCACAGGATATACGTCAAGAGAGCCAGAAGAAAAGTAGCGAATAAATTAACTAGCGAGTCTCTGTAAATTGTTGCCAGAACAGTGTTAAAGAAAGATAACAAATAGACGGACCCTGTTAAAAGCTAAAAATGGCAGGAAGCTGTGGAGAGCCATGATGACCCATAACCTGCAATGAAACGACAGATCGAAGAAGAAGAGTCTCTGAGTAGTTCTAGTTCAATTCAGAATAATAATACTAGTAGTTTTTGTTTAGTTCAAGGCTAGAGGGCCCAGTTTACACTGCTACTTAACTCATAGCTGGGGGAGGAAAAATGTGTGTATGCCTTTCCCAAACGTATTAGTGTAAAAGCGAACGCAACAGACGAGGCTGGATCTTGAACTCGACACGCCGATTTACTTTACGCTACGCGCATATCGAAGGCTACTCGTAATAAACGGCAAACGAATATTTGAAATGGTACAGGTAGCAAAATGACTACAAATTTAAATGCCCTTTAACCATCTGTTATACTGCAACACACCTATTCTATTGTTAATAGACTCTCTCACCTATAATAAATAGGAGTAGTAGCAGTCGCTGAGTCAGTCAGCGAGTTGGTCAGTCAGTCAATGCCGGACGACCGTTAGTCGGATACTAAAATATCAGCGACCACAATTAGATTTCTCTGCGTCATTAACTATTATATCAAGTTCCTAACGTTTTGTATGTCGAACCTATTTTAGGACCGACTTAGTGAAATACAAGCCTTCACTGGGAAACTACTCTACAACACCATCGAAGATTCGGTGACTGAAATGGTTAAAACAACGTCCGAGAAATCTAGTTCCTCCGTGGCGTAGGATTGGAGTCCATATATCATCGTTAGTTAAGTCTCATTATTTGCTCTAAGAGTCGAAGTCACCTTAGAGTACTGTGAAAAAAATCGTTAAATAATAATAATAATAATAATAATAATAATAATAATAATAATGCTTATTGACATAGCAGTATCATCTGAGAGAAACACCTCCATAAAATTATCGAGAAATTGTCCAAATACAAGAACCCGGAGATTTGAGATTAACAGGATGTGGGGAATGAAGACTGAGACTGTACCAATAGTAATCGGAGCACTGGGCCACGTGAGAAAAGGAATTGGCAATTTTACTAACAATGTCCCAGGTGACATCAACATACAAGTTGCTCAGAAGATCGCCCTACTAGGAGCATCTCATATACTAAGAAAAGCGCTATTAATTAAATGACAATTCTCCTATACAGCCTAAGAACCATAGTTTGGACCCTGGTTTTATAGGATACAAAGCAGGAAACACAAACAATAATAATAATAATAATAATGGCAGTAATTAAAAAAACCAAAGTTTTGCATTGACCTTTTGACTGTTTCGGTTCAGTACATTTTTTTTCATTTGTTTTTTTTTTTGTTTTTTTTTTTTTTGTTTTTTATTTAACTTTAGTCAAAACAGGATTAGGTCGACCACGAAATTAGTGGACCTGTGACATACATGGAACGAAAGCATAATGCGAGGAAAAGCATGTTCACTCACTCATTTCCACTTGCACATTACGAGATGCATAAGAATGCACAGCGGCATATTTACAAAGTTGTGTCTCTACAGTTGGATATGAATACCTCCTCATATGTATCCGTTAAAGAAAAAGATAGAAGTAGAGAAAGATCAAATTTAAACTTACTATATACGATAAAATGTTAGGATGACTATAGATCATATTTCTCTTTTAATGTATTGTACTTGACCCGGAACTCGAACCCCAAACGACAGAGGCCCTAATGATATTTCCAACAAAAGAGTTTCAACAAATGTATTATTTTGAGAAAAAAATGTGTACAATGCAATGTTTCATTCCTCTGTCCACAATACACAGCAAACATATTTTATGTTTTATTCCATCATATTTATTTTTGAATGTAATATTGTTTAATGTAATGTTGACATAAAGCAATAATTTTTTTAGTTTAATACTTATATTTACTTAGACATGGACACAGAATAAACATTTAGATTATATGAGCACTAATAGATTATATATATATATATATATATATATATATATATATATATATATATATATATATAACCTGTATATATATATATATATATATATAGATACAGGTTGTCCATGAAGTTCGTATGCACTTTAATAATTTATAACTTTAAAGTGCACATGAACTTTATGGACAATTTGTGTGTGTATATATATATATATATATATATATATATATATATATATATATATATATATATATATATATATATATATATATTATAGATTTACTAATTTAAAAATATAGCTCTATCGTTACACAGGAATTAAATTAAAGTCCCTAGTCTTGTTTCATTTTCAAGCAAATTTTGGAATAACTTATTTTGAAATGTACTGAGTCTTATAAGCACATATATTCATAATATTAGTTTCTAAGATTACGGGGATATTCAATCATTTTGATAAGGAGTGGCAGGGTATTCATTTTCACTGACAACTATTGTATCAAAATATGAGTTACTTTCGAAAAGAGGTAGGGTATGGATACCTTTTAATTTAATTCTATAACTGAATTTGAAGTTTTTAGTTTCAATTGACATGAAGTGGAAAGATTATATTGAATTTATTTCTAGTTCTGTTGCTGTCTATCTTTCACATTAATAAACCTACCATTTCTCCGTTCATTGAATATTCCTCGCAGAAACCCCTTGCGTCTTAGTGGAATTATCACCTTGTTTGCAGAGGGAAATGATTAAAAACAAACGTTCCAAATATTCCAAGAGGTACCTGGCAGTGAATATATTTTGTGTGGCTACAACGTTGCAATGCCCTCAATCCACTCTTCAGCACAACTAGTCATAGGACGAGCAGCAAAATAAAGGTTGAGATGACCAGAGGCCGAGTATGTTTCAGATTTTATATATGAGTTTCCATCTCCTAGAAAGGCGACTTAAAAAGATTCAGGAATCTTTCACTCATATGTTTGTGGCATCCATCGGCCTCGAGGGACCATGGCTCTGCACCCAAAGAGTTATGCCTCAGCAGGTGATGGCGGTGCAGCATCTGTTATGGCTGTACAGGCCCACACGAGATTGACAGTCTCGATTGGTCTTCGCCGTGTTGTTTGCCTTCCTTCGAGCACGCTTCACCCTAGCAGCCAGCCTCCGTTTCTTTTCTCGGTGTAAATCACGTCTCTAGCGTTAGCGATCGTTGGTGTCGTCGGCCATGTCCATCGACCTCATGTCACTTTTTCAGACAGCCTTTAAGCGAAGATGAGGTGCCCTCTTGTCGGTGGCCAGTTCACCGCATACAAGGAGTTTCGGAATGCTCTTATCAGTAGACTCTTCCCGTGTTTTAGCGTCGCAGTGAGGCGACGACGGAGTGTCCTATTCATGGCGCAGGTCTGAGCAGGGTTTTATGAGAGATAGGTGGTTGCTCATACAGGTATACACACGGCGTATATATATATATAAAAAAAAAAAAACAGCATCACTAAAATGTTGCAAATTTTTAAAACAAACATACTTCTTCTACGTTCCGTTTCCTTTCAAGACGTCGACAATCATGGCTTTCCAGAACGTCCTTTTCTTTCGTAGCTATCAGTAAAGATTTTTTTTGCTCTCTTAGTCCCTGTTTTGCTAACCATTTATACAAATCCATTAAGTAGGTTATATGATGTTTCCCACTATCCTTCTTGCCTTAAGTATTCCTTGTTAGTGTCAAATTTTCTGAACCGACTGTTCGATTGTACTCTTTTCCTACGGACGGGAGGAACCTGAAGGAGGCTACGCCGAAGGGCGAGAGTCTCCTTCGGGGAGGTAAACTGGCCCAAAAACCCGTTCATACGGGTTCAATAGGCATATTTTTGCCGAGCCCACGGGCTCGGAATGCCCACGTTAAAAAGACCTTGTGCCACATGACACCCTCGTGGGGGGGTGACTGAATATTGTCAAATTTTCTAAGCCCTCTTTCCCCATTAGGTGCCCTAGAAATTTCAACTGTCTCTTTCTCATGTTAAGTATAATTGTGTTTTTTTTTCATTTTCCCTAAAACGTCGTTGTTGCTCACATACCCAGTCTATGGTATTCTCAGCATCCTACTGTAGAACAACATTTCTGTTATTACATATCTCTACACGCCTTCTAATTTCGGGGTCGCATTTTCAGTCCCCTGTTAAGAAAAAAATCTTCCTAAATATTTATACTTTGTAGTTGCTTGATTCTAGTGTCTCCAGTTCACAGATCACATCTTGGGATGTACCTTTTGCCTACAACTAGACATTATGTCTTCTCATATTTAATCGTTAATGTTTTCTTCTCAGTTTTTTTCACGATTTTCTGTGGAAATTCCTTTAGTTTTCTGATAGGACATCTAATTTTCTCAGGATAGCCTCACTCTTGAATCAGTCCAATGAAAAAAACACATCCTTGTCTTTTACTTTCTATATATTTACTGAATACATATATCCGTATATAGGCGATTTTCTATCACTATAACTTATGTATAATTCTAAAACCCTATCTCAAGTAGCAGTTTAAACAGACGTACTTTATCAAACGCTTTTGCATAATCGATAAAACATATTAAAATCTGAAGTGAAATCACCACTGGACAAATTGAACAGAAACAAAATAACAGATATAGGGAAATTGTAACAGATGCTGGCAGCCTTTGATGATTTGGGCCTTGGCAAGAATACATATATAATAAATGAAATATACAACAGTGGTGATATACCGGAAGATCTACGCAGAGCCATTTTATAGCATTGCCTAAGAAGCCAGTTGCAAACGAATGTAAAGAACACCGTCCAATCAGCCTAATGAGCTATGTAAGAAAAGTTATCATCCGAATTCGGATGAATAGAGCGCACAGCAGAATTAGACCGAAAATAGGAAAAGAACAGTATGGGCTCGTCAAAAACACTTGAACAAGAAATGCAATATTTATGATATGAGAAAGAACAATTCAAATGGAAAAGTATATCAAATTATGATTATAGATTGATTATTCAAGAACGTTTGATAAAGTTCATCACAAAGAATTGTTGGAATTAATATGTAACCTTGATATATTTTGAAAGGATATTAGAATAATCCAGAACCTATATTGACAGCAAACCGCCTGCATACGGATAGAAAATAAATCCAGTAAATATGCAACAGTAGAAAGGAGTGTAAGACAAGGATATGTCTTCTCACCGGACTTATTCAACATATACAGTGAGGTGATTCTGAGTGAATTAAAAGTCCTCCTAGAATTAATTAGTGGTGGACACAATATTAACAAGATAAATATGCGGATGACACGACGTTGATAGGAAATATAGAAAGGAAACTACGAGAACTCCTACAGAAGGTAGTGAAGGAAAGCGAGAAGAAAGGAGTAAACATCAATTGCAGGAAGACAGAATGCATGGTTGTTAGCAAAGGGAACAGTCCAACATGCAAATTATGAACTGGACATAGCAAAATCAAACAAGTACAATAATTTAAAGTATTTAGGAAGTGTTTTAACAGATATCGGATAGTGTGACACTGATATCCGAAGCCGCATTGGAATAGCGAATGGTGCCTTTCAAAAGTTAAGCAAAGTATTAAGAACAGGAAAATTTCGTTAAAAAACAGAAAAAAGATGTATTGAACTGTTACGTAATGACACTCCTTTTACATGACAGTTTCCTGCTGGACAATCTCCGCACGGATGAAGAAGAGATCTGAAACAATAGAAATGTTACTCTACAGAAGGATGTTGAGAATATCATTGGCCGAAACATGGGAGCAACGAGGAATTTTTAGAGAAAATGGAAAAAAAGTATACTTGTATTTAACGTCAGAAAGTGACAGTTTAAAGTTCTAGGGCACATAGTGAGGAAAGAGGGCTTGGAAATTTTAATACTCCCAGTACAGATTGAGGGGAAAAAAGGACATAGGAAAACAACCTACACAGAGATCTTGAGCAAATGGATGGAAGAACAGAATTAAAAAAAAAATTTTCTTATTAAGGACAGAAAAATATGGAAAGCCATGATCGCCAATGTCTTGAAGAGACGTGACCAATAGCAGAAGGTAAAAAATAAGTATACATCCTTTCGCATTTCTATTGTTCTCTCATCTATACTTCTGTACATAAATATTGCATTCCTTGTTCCAGTACCTTTAACTGAACTGAACTTCACTATTCCAGTAACAAACATACTAAATGTTAAGAAACATAATGAAAACGACCCGATAGCACAAACAGAAATGTGAAAACGCTATTTGGAAAACGATGAAACCGATATAGCTCAATAAACGAAAGCGCTTTGACAATGAATTTTGGAATTGGTCAAAAATACAAAAGAAATAAAGAAAATATCCTTAACAAATAAATTTAATTAGTCTTTAACTAACCTTGTATAAATTAAAAATTAAAAATTATATATATATATATATATATATATATATATATATATATATATATATATATATATATATATGTGTGTGTGTGTGTGTGTGTGTGTGTATATAAATATATATATCATCATAATGATCATCATCCACTTGAATGTTGTAATCGTAGCGGGGAGCCGAATGCAGAAGCCATATTGAGTCTCTTCCAAAACGGTCTATCAACGACAGCCATAAGCAATTCTGGTATAGTAATACTTGTCCACTGTTTGACATTGTCCAACCAGTTTTTGTGTTGGCGTCATCTCCTGCGTCCACCTTCAACGGTGCCTTGCATAATGGTCTTGACCATTCTGTCGTGCCTTGTAATGTGTCCAAACCACACCATTTTTCTCCGTTTGACAGTACCGAGAAGAAGTTCCCTTGTTGGCCCACAAAATTTTCAACCCATTTCTGCACAAACTCATTGGCTTTATGTTCGCAGTAGAAGATGCCACGGAGTTTTCTCATGCATTTGTTCTCAAACGCTTGCATCCTTCTCTCTGTTTCTGCCAACAGTTCCACGTTTCACACCCATATAGAAGAATGGAGACTAGCAGCGATTTGTACAGTCTCTACTTTGTTTGAAAGTTGATTTTACTCCTCCATATCCGTTCCAATTGGGTCATCGCTGCCATGGCTGCGGTAATTCGTGTGCGGATTTCCGAGTTGCAGGTACCATCTTTAGACAAGATTGCTCCTAAGTATTTAAAAACTGGCTAATTCCTCCAATGAATTCCTGTTCACGGTAATGTTGAAACAGATAGAGCGGATGAAAACCTGGATAGGTTTCATGGAAACGACCTTCAGGAAAGTAACAAACTACCTGGGATTCACCTAAACGGATCTTCGGAAAGGTGTGAAACTTTCCTGGAAGATCCGGGTCAGGTAGGTTTGTCAGGCTCCGTAAAATCTATCTATCTATCTATCTATCTATCTATCTATCTATCTATCTATTTGTCGGTTTGAAAATTGCCATTATACCGCTCTCACTTCGTCTGAAAGGTAAATGAGAACGTTAATAATTGGTACATATTGAGCAACAGTAGGTTAGTTCTATGAACAGTGTTTGTAGATATAAAATTATGGGCGTGTGGCCAAGTGGTCAGAACGTTGGCTTTCTGGCCATGAGACCAGGGTTGAGTTGTAAGGAAATGGGCCTCCTGGTGTTATCAGTCTGGAGGAAGTGATGCCAAATATGAGTTTGGAAACTGCCTGAAAGTGCAACGGGTAGTGAAAGTGAAATTGGGTAGACGAAACCCTTGGGGTCCCGTCGATAGCTGTGCTAGCACAAAGTCACAAGTCATCGTGACCGAGGATTTGTGTGTACAAGTGTTGTTCAGTTAGTTGATCATTCTAGATATCTAGGCTCTCTAACTAAGGTCTGCTCAGCATAGTTGCGGTATATATATGTGCCTGAGCGAGTGTCTGTAATAGGGATTTGGTAGGCGCCCTAATAAACGGGTATCCTCGAATCCGAATGGCCAGCTATTATTATTATTAAGTAATTTTTTTTTTACCGAAATAGTTTTTTTAATCTTTTTTTTTCTTTCGATATTCCGAATTATTTACTCGGTTTTATATTCCAAAATACTGTGTAACCCGGATATAAGAGAGTTGTCGGGACCGGAGAAGAAGTCTCTTATATCCGGGTTTCTCTTATATCCGGGTTTGGTCTATTTTATATACATTAACACAGGCTCTAATTTGGGACCAGAGAAAATCTCTCTTATATCCGGGTTTCTCTTATATCCGGGTCTCTTACATCCGGGTTACACTGTATATTTTCAATTGTCTAGTAATTTTGTCAGTCGTTATCCACTATCAAAGAATTTTGTTTGTTTTTTCTTATATCGTAAGTTTCAATTTCAAATATCACGTCTCGCGTATTGACGTGATAATTCTGGTCTTTATATATATATATATATATATAAATATATATATATATATATATAAAGAGAGAGAGAGAGAGTCACGGCGGAGTTGTGGATAGCTGAGTTCGAATTTTATGGAAAAGGTGTTAATCCTCTTCTTCTCCCTCCAGCTATGGGTAAATAGCAGGACAGACTGGGTTCTATAGCCTTGGATGGCAACTGGTCTAGGAGAAGGACCACTCTGAATTCAAAATCTGCGGAGGGTCGTAGTGCACCAGTCCTCTGTATTCGGCCCTTCAAAATGTGTTGTTAGTTCTGCACAAACCCTTCACCACTATTATCAAATCATATTAGCTGTTGTCCGGCTGTTGATTCCTAAGAACTGAGCTATTTAACCCCCATACATCGAAAAACGACAGGGAGAGTCCACCATATATATATATATATATATATATATATATATATATATATATATATATATATGAACACAGATTACTTTATTATCGCTATATTACCGTGATCACATTTTTCATTTTATCTATGATTTTGAATTCAGAGCCGTCTTTGTCGGATACGCTACTTAATCCATAGCTGGGGTGAGAAAAATGAATTCATGCCGTTACCGGGCAAACGAGCGAAGTGGCCGCAACAGGCTAGGCCGGACTTGAACTACTACGAACACAAACTCACACACACACGTGCAGACATACATATACACACACACAGACATATGAATGCACACACACACAGATGATTCGATTTCGAATAATCCCATCGCTTAATTAACCCTCAAATATGGACTGAATAGATATGCCGTTTTAGTCCAACAAGGAAATTACGTTCTCTCTATATATAGAATATATATTTTTGCATATATTTATTCATATTTAAACATATATATATATATGTACACACACACACGCATATCTATCTATCTATCTATCTATATATATATATATATATATATATATATAAATGTATATATATTATATATATATATATATATATATATATATATAATATATATATATATATATATATATATATATATATATATATATATATATATATATATATATATATAAAGAGAGAGAGACGAGTGCTGATAAGTTCTCAGCGCGACCAAGAAGCTCTTTTAAAAATCCTGTGTTTGTTTATTTGGTTAGATTTTTGAAGTGGGTCGGCTAAGAACTTTTAGTACTTCCTCATATATACATGCATGCATATTTACATATATATATATATATGTGTGTGTGTGTGTGTGTGTGTGTGTGTGTATATATATGTAAGTAGGTAGGTATATGAACACATCGACCAACCCACCCACTCACTTTACCGAAATTCATGTTCCCCTTCTCGATGTGCACACAGATTTGCATACACCCGCGTCGACCGCAGACTCACTTATAAGCACAACATAAAATACTTGAATTTCCCCGCTCAACCTTCAACCCCTCCTCTCTGCCGATTTCGCCCCGCCCTTCTCGCTCTCTTTCTCTTCCTCCGGCCCTACCTCTTGCTTCATCTCTGACTGAGTTGTTGTTGCAGATGATGATGATGATGATGATGATGATGAGGGTGGCGGTAGGGGTGGGTGTGGGTGTGTCCGTTGTGGATATTGCAGTGATGTTGGTGGTGATGATGATGGTGGTGGTGGTGATGATGATGATGATGACGATGATGATGGCAGTGACGGCAATGATAATGCCGTTACCACTGTGCCTGCTGCTTTCTCTTAGAAGCCTCGTCCGTTCTCTGTAGCAATAGAAACTCAACTTGTGTGGGGGCCGCAGTCATCATCACTATCACAATGTCTTTGGCTCTCACTATAATGATGATTGCAAGCGATAAATGACACCAATGATGATGATGATGGCTAGTCTGCCATGAACCCTTTGATTAACTTACAAACTGGAGCTATTTGTTAATTTATTTTGTGTTGTTTTATTTGTTATTGTTGTTGTTGTTATTATTATTATTATTAATAATAATAATAATTATTATTATTATTATTATTGTTATTATTATTATTATTATTATTATTATTAATATTAATATTATCATCATCATTACCATCATTTTAGTAGTTTAAGACATTTTTTGCCACTCTCCAGACTTAGAGATTGGTCGATATACAGACAGCCTGACAGACCACCGGACCGACAGACCGACAGAAGACTTACTTTATATATATACCTGCAACAACAGAAACAACGCTAATAACAAAAGAAGCAAACCAACCACAAGACTAAAGAACTCCCACACGACAAGCACCTTCATTACAAGCCTTATTAAACTGAAGAGCGAAACAGTTTTCATCCGTCTACGGAGAAGGACGAATCAACTAAGACAATATCTCTCTGCAACAAGCAAAAAGGAACACGTCTCTCGCTAGTTCATTCACTGTCATCCCCCCATAGAGTCCTCTCTCTCTCTCACACACACGCACTCACTCTCTTTCACTTTCTCTCCTTCTCTATTCTTTCTTTCTTTCTTTCCGTATAATTCCCTATCTATCAAACCAATTTTAATTTTCTCCACCAGACTATTGATCTATATAAACATACATATCTGTTGTCATATAAATATATATACACATATATATATATATATATATATATATATATATATATATATTTCATTTTGTTTCTTACCCACTTTTAAAAAATTTCCTTTCATCGACAACTCTAATTTTAAAGCTTCTTTCTTTCTACCTCTGTATCTATAACTTTCTTCCATCATATCTATCTATCTATCTATCTATCTATCTATCTATCTATCTATCTATCTATCTATCTATCACATTTACTCTTGCACATACTCCTCTCCATCAACCAACCAACTTTTCGATACTATCGGCTATTTATTGCCCGAAAAACTGTTGACTGGAGCTTCAGCCTAAGGGTAAGTAGGAAAACCAACACCAACAATTTGCTAATTCTTACTTGTCTTGTTGTTGTTGCTGCTGCTGCTGCTGCTGCTGATGTACAATCGGTGCCTTTTTTTCCCCTTTTGGTAGGCGAAGGGTGAGGGAGAGGAGTGTATTTTACCACTAACCGTTTTTTTATGAGGCCCATATTTCACTTTCTTTTCTGATCCCACCCCGTTTTACTTTTCCTGTCTATATCATGATTAAAATGACAATAATAAAGTGGATGTAATAATTTGTATTACTACTTATTATTATTATTAGTATTATTATTATTATTATTATTATTATTAATACTACTACTACTAATAATAATAATAATAATAATAATAATAATACTATGAAAGAAAAGTTTTCGACCCGACCACAATGCCCTACCACCCAATCAGATGTTTTAACAATTTAGTTAGATTTTGTCAAGTAATTTGGACCGGGAATATTTCAACCTTCTATTGTTTATCAATAATTGCTCAATATTTGGCCCGCTTCGCAAGTTAGATAATTTCGCATTTTCTACTGACATCAGTGACCGGCTTTCAAATCAAGGTAAAAATAAAAAAAAAAATTAAAAAAAATGGTAACTCTTCAAATGCTGATGTTCAAGACAAGCCTTCTACACTTGAAAGATTGGTATAAAGTAAGCTTCATATCCCTCATCAAAGCCCATGTGCCGAATACGACAGTGAAGGAAAAATCAAAAATTGAAGTGTATGGATTTCTTTTTTTTTTAAAGTTGTAGGGCCACTGATCCATTTTATCGCATTAGAATCATCATTATTTTTAAAGTTTCGCCAATCGATTCACACGAGATCATAGGAGTGTATACGAGATCATTTTTTACGCCATTCTTTCTTTAAATTGCGCGTAGACCCTGTTTTTTTTCTTTTGTGTGCTTATACATCTTAAAGAATTTGAACTGCATCAAGTATTATATAACATCATAGCTTTGTTTCATAAAAGTTACTCCAACAAAAAATAGATTTATGAGTGTTTGTAAGAGAGGGAAATGAGAGAAAGAATGAGTAAAGAAGAAAAAAAAAGAAAGAGAACGCATGCGTGTAAAGGGATTAGGAAGGCAAATATTTAAAATGAACAACATGCTTGTCTTTGCTTGGCTAACAAAGGTCAGATAGCCTCTGGGTAATCCAGTGAAACGTGTGCCGCTGTGGCACACCATTGATGGGATGTTCACGCTTCTTCTCAGGGATTACCATAAACGTGGCCTGTACCAATCTTGGCTAACAGTGATTTTGGTACATAAATCAAAGGAATCGGAGAAGTTGAGCAATCAACAGGTCAGCTTAAAGACAATATATGCTTGTTTTTATGATGTCCTGTACGTAAAAGTAAGCACACATACACAACTTGCATATTGCATCAACATGCTTTCACATTATGCACGAATGTATACGGATATTTTCGTTTATAAACAAATATGTTTGAACATTCATGCTTGAAAATATCTACATAAAGCTGTTTATAAAGTGTTTAATATGTATAATTTCCACGCTTTTAACGCATGGCGATGATAGATAGATAGATAGATAGATAGATAGATAGATAGATAGATAGATAGATAGATAGATAGATTTCTCTTATTGGAAATATATGTATTGATATGTGAATTTATATAAAATGTATATAGAAAATATCACTTATTTTATTTGTTTTTTTTTTAGTTAATAACTCGATCTATCTATCTATCTATCTATCTATCTATCTATATATATATATATATATATATATATATATATATATATATATATATATCTCTCTTTCTAGCTGTCTCTCTAACTATCGGTCTATCTATCAGTATATCTCAGTTTTATGTTTTACTTTTTCAGCATTTGTTTCTGTCTATTTACCTATCTGTCGCGATTTTTTTTTTTAATTCTTGATAACAATGTAAAGTTTTGATGGCAGAAATTCACTTTTTAATCATGTTTCCTCAGGACCGCCACAATATTCAGTTGTCAGTTAAAAAATGACAACAGTTAGAGTGAATAGTGATGGCGTAGTCGTATAGTCAGTGGGTAGATGAAACCTTACCTACATATAAAATATAACTGTGATTAGTCGTTGACTTTCTTGTCTTTTTTCCATTTCTATATCACTATAATTATTCCATCGTATATATATATATATATATATATATATATATATATATATATATATATATATATATATAGAGAGAGAGAGAGATTAAGTAAGTGTTAACAAATGTTAGAGAAATAGGATCATGTAAGAAAATGACTTAGCACCTAGTTTCTGCCTTTACCTTCAAAGTAATACCCCTTTGCATTTTTATATCACATTACCAATTATTATATATATATATATATATATATATATATATATATAGACAAAGTTTTCCTTTGTATTTATTCATATTGTATTTTGCAGATATATTTTAGTTATATCTGAAATTTTACACAAATATAAATATATATCTTATATATATATATATATATATATATATATATATATGAGATTATATATATGAGATTTATTTATGTATAAATAAGATGATGTTATATATATATATAATTGCGAGAAATGTTAATTGCTCTTAGATTTTAAAAGGATTAATCATTTACTGATAGATAGATAGATAGATAGATAGATAGATAGATGAGTAAATATTTTTATATTAATATGATCTCGTAACATTTAGAATTGCACATATAGACTGACCGGGACTATGCTTTTCCCAGTGTGTGTGTGTGTGTCTGTGTCTGTATGTGTGTCTTTCTGTACTTGTGTAATCGTTCGTTGTGTGTGTGTGTTTGCATGTATATGTGTGTTTGTGTTTGAACGCGCGTGCTTATGCAGGTATGCTACTGGTGTTTAAGTGCATGTGGGTTTTTGTCTTTGTATGTTTATATATATATATATATATCTTTATAAATATATATATATATATATATATATATATATATATATATATATATATATATATATATATATATATATATATATATATATATAAATATATATATAAATATATATATATATAAATATATATATATATATATATATATATATAAATATATATATATAAATATATATATATATATATATATAAAAATATATATATATATATATATATATATATATATATATATATATATATATATATATATATATATATATACTGAGTGAATTCTTCAAATCGCTATTAAATGAAGCCTCCATTTCTCCAGGCAATGCATTAAATTAATCATTTTAGCCTGTACTAAAAATCTTATTTCCAGAAAGTAAAAAAAAAAGAAGAAATCTTTAGAAACACGATGTACTCAAATCGGAAATTTTAATGCCTCAATTGAGACCTCCTTCCGAGCCGAAATTATTAATAAACTTGAATTGCTTCTCAATACATTTACTCCGGTAATCTCGTTCCTAAGTTGGTGCACCGCTACCATTGCCTTGTGCCACACACAACTAAACTTAATAATTGATTGTTAGGGGGTGCCGTGACATTGTATGCTGCTTAGCAAGTTGACTAGTAATGAATAGAGTTTGATCTTTTCAGGTTGCCCTTCCGTTATAAGACACGCCTCGTAAGTAGCTGATTATAATTCTGTAGTTAGTACGCTAATATCTGAGTGTGCTGAGTTCGATCCTCTTTGACTAAGGTACGTTTCGTAAATACCTACATTGTTTCTTCTATAAATAGCAATTTTTCTGATTTCTACTTCACTCTGGTTGTTTCGGATGTAAGCATATATTTGATCTAGTTTCTGTTGTATTATTTTTTTTTTTTCTTAATGAAATTTTCCTTTTACGCTCCTGTTTGTGTGCATATGAAATAAGATGATTTAATGTTTTATAAAAGGATGGTAAGAAGTTGATAAATAAATATAAATTTGTATGTTTTTTTAGGGCGCATTTATCAGTACACTCTACTCCAAAATAATACGGCGCAAGGCCGAGTTTAAATTGAGTGCCCCCCACCGCTTACATGCGACTAGGGACAATAATGTCGTAATTTGTTAAGTTTGGCTTACTTTTTAGGAACAAGTAAAGGGCACCCAGTGAGGATATAACTCATTGCTGACCTTAGACCCTGATGTGGAATCGAGATTGGTCTACTCGGAAGAAAGTCAACAATAACACTATGCGGAGATGAATTATAGCTTTTAGCACGACGCTAATGGGCATGTGATGATGAAAGTGCCGGTTTATGCCGTGTCACTAAAGTTAAGCATCTATGATCCACTCATTTTTAGCTGAGTGACAAATTAAAATTACAAAAAATAATTAGTCTTATATGCCAGATTTAATAATTTTTTTAAAAATTACTTTTATTAATTTAATAATGAAATCGACTTACCTCGCTAAGAAATTATATTCTATCTTGCTTGAAAATGTTTCTGATTTGCATTTCATACGTTAAAATTTTTAAATGCACATCAAACAAATTAAAATAAAATATGGACGTTTTATGATGCTCTCAAAAGGTCATTGGCCCATTTTCCGTTGCTAATTATCAACTCATTGGGATAGCCTACACATGCGCATTTGAGGCACGGTGGAGTAATAGATAGCGATTCGGTATGGGGAACCGAGTTCGAATACCAGTTGAATTCATTACACTTTGTCATTAATATTCTTAACATCGTTTTAATATATAAAATTGGATATATCATTTTCTTCCATATAGCCGTTCAATGATGCCTAACCGATGTGATCAGTGTGAGCTATTGATGTGCAATCTAATAGAACTTTAAATTTGTTGTATATATCTTCATA